AAGATATACCGTCTCCAATGTCGTTTTTCTCCTCCAGGAGGTACTTGTGCAACAGCGCGCTCGTAAACCTCCCGTACCCGAGCAAACGCGGCCTCCTCTTCCTCTGGTGTAGCGCCTTCGTCTCTGAGGTCCCGTAGAGCTCCTTCTTCTAAACGTGAGTAGTCAAACCATACATCATAGTTGCGCCCATCTTGGGACAGCTCGTCCTCATACTGGATCCGTCGCTTTCCGAGAACGGTATTTTCCAGCGTATTACGGGTTCCATGTTGTTTTTCAAACTTGGTGTATGATGCGTAGAGTCCGGCTGACTTTGAACGCGGTATTCGTGACAGGGCGAACTAGTATAAGAGTGAGATAAAGAAGGAGACGAAAAATATTGACACAACATGCCTTGTAAATGACCCTCGCGCGTTCATACTCCTTCAACCGCATTTCCATCTTCGCGAATGCGCCAAAAACCGCCTGCGCCTTCTCAATCTGCTCCTCATCGTCTCCGAAAAACTCGAGTGCAGTCTGAAACACCTCTCTGGCCTTATCCAGCTTCCCTCTCTCCTCTTCAAACTTGCCCCACTTAACCCACACCCTCGGCTCCGGCCTGACCGCAATCCACCGCTCGTAGATCGTGCTCGCGCGGTCAAGTTCATTGTACCGCTGCTCCAGCTTGATATACGCCTGCCAAGCCTTGTCGTCCGGCTCCCACTGCATCCACCGCTCGAATACTTGTCGTGCGCCGGGGACATTCTGCAAGAGTTCCTCAAGGAAGACATACTTGTACCATAGCTGATCGACTCGTGGTAGGAGCGTGACAGCGCGGTCAAATAGATTCCGAGCGTGTTGGACGTTTCGTGATTTGAGTTCCATCTCAGTGTAGCTCAGCCATAGCTGAACACTTCGTGGGTCGACATCAAGTGCGCGTTCGAAGACTGACCGAGAACGTGCAAATTCATTCTGACTAGCCTGCGCTTAGGTGAGTAGAGAATGATGACCCGCTCAATTAGGCATACCTCCCAGTTGGCGTATTGTAGCCATTCTTTTCTGTGTTTTCCTTGAGTTGAAGAGTTCTAAGACGATCAACGAAATAACATACATGCTTCCTCTTGTACGCCTGATCCGCTCCTCAAACTCCTTTCGTTTGCGGCCACGATATTCATGTAATTCTTCAAAATCCTCCACCCGCTGTCTTGGCGCGCGAAATTGAGATTCTTGTCGCTCTTGCGCCTGAAGGGAGTCATTCAAACAGCTCTCAAATCAAATGCACGCCTATACGGACCTCTCGAAGCAGCTGCTCAGCTGTGATCTACAGGGAATGATTGTTAGGATCTTGAGCCAGAAGTTGATTCATTTTGCTCACTTGAATCGCAGCTGGCGCGCGGTTTTTTATTCTTTCAACCAATTTTAAGTATTTCAACAGTGATGTGATGTATATATTATAGTCTCACCGCGGGGCACGTCCATCTTGCATCGTGACACTATTGACAATGCAGGAAGAGT